GCTAGACATAGTGCTTCATTCTGGGGTGCCCCTAACGCACCCAGATGTCCCTCCTCAATTCCATTCAACCACGCTAATATTACACACAGTTGCTAATGAACTAATTTCTTGTGGGACAACAAAGAAGAGTCTTTTGATGGAACGATGTACTCACTTTCTCTCAAATCGAAGTCCTACAAGCCAGACAAAGACAAAATCTTTTTCGTCAAGAATAAGACAAGTCCTGTTCACCATTTCTGCCATTTGACTCCGGTTCTGGTTCACTACGTCTGCCACATGGGTTTTGTAAAATTTTGGCAGACAGAAATGAGGAATCTTTATTTAGAATGTGTTATGACAGATTGCACACAGAAACAGCTTACTAAAATGTCTGGTGTTTGGTACTTTACAAGCATAGGTCACAGGGTAGGGTTCATGGGGAAATATCTTAACTAAGAGAGTCTGTGTGAATGCCTAATTAATCAAAGTCTCTGCCAGAACTACGACTCTGATAAGTGCATGTATGCACCATTTTTAGGGAGACAGTAGAGAGAAACAGATGGCACTCTGCAGTGAAGGGAAAAGCTGCCACCCATTTTCATCAAATTGTCGAGCTGCAGCAAAGTTGGCAACACATCCACATTTCAGCCATTAGCCTCACGGAAGGAATAGAAGTTATTGAAGTCAAACTGCATGTGATGTTCACAGCTTTTATATTGTCTCATAATAAATAAATTGTTTATATCTTTATCAATAGAGTTTGTTCTTTCTGCTAGAGAATTCCTGCCTTTCAGGAAAATTACTTAAGTAAGTCACTAGGATTGAAACATCACCAGATCTATCACAAAATTCAGATGCAACCTATTGAGAGGAATATTTCATTCCAGCAGGTACACAATGTAAAAGAAGATTTCCATTAGATGGCATGATGGTGGAGGACATGAACAATAGTATGAGCCATGCCTAATTCATGCATCTCTTCATTGAACTATGATACTGGGGACTGTTATTAGTGGCTAAAATTTTCATCCAACATACAGTAACTGGGCAGGGGACAGCCACTCTGTGTAATGTTTGGTGACCAACCCAGAGTGTTACAAAAGTTGTTTGGGGTGGATTCAAAAAAAAAAAAAAAAAAAAAAAAAAAAAAAGGAAAGGAAAAAGAAGAAAGCCCAAGCCCATTTATTTGAAACTAAAATTAAGAAAGGTGTGCTTAGGGAAATACAAGCAGTCTGTTAAACAATTCAAGATGATTTATTTACATTGTTCGAACTGTTGTATTCATCTTTGTTGTCATATTCACAATGTTTTGGCCATTGTACCCTCTTGTTTTCTTCAGGCGATATAGTTATTTTCTAAGCATAGTTTAGATGTGGTACAAGGCCAAAAGTATGGGGCACCCAGTGAGAATCAAACTCACTTCAGTCATAACTGATCTAGCGAGACAAGCTTGCTAACCATTACACCACACTGAGGTGCCCGTTTCAGGTGATATGTTGGAATTTCAAACCGAATCCTTTATTTAGTCCTGGGGGTGGGTAGATTGCTCTAGTTCCACGTGCCACGCCTTTTCTGGATATCTCAGTTAATTCCCTTTAGTAACTCAACTCTCCAAGTTTTTGTTCCCTCTGCTGTGGCCAGGTATTGAACTCACTACTCTTTGGGTCAAGTCTCTTTTGGATTACTTCAACCAATGCTTTAATCTACTGGGCCAATGTATATCACCTGAAGAAGGCCAGAGCATACAATGGCCGAAACATTGTGAATATGACAATAAAGATGAGGACAACAGTCTGAACAATGTAAATAGTTAAAATACCTTATCGCAGAAATTCAAGATGAGATTTTGAAAAGAAAGAATTATTTGACGATAGCTTGGGAATCATCAGTTATCAGGAATGGCTGGTGGATATAAATTTACTTTACAACCCAACATGTATTACCTGTAGCACTTGCTTCAGGGGTAAAAACAGACCAAGATATGTAAATAGTTACAATACCTCATCTCAGAAATATAAACAAATTCAAGATATTTTGAAGAAAAATAATGATATTTATATGGCTTTTATGTTATAACTTTTTAGTTTTGCGCGCGCGCACACAAAAACAAAAAACTTAAATTATTTCATTCAATACCCCCTTATCTGGTACAATACATTTAGTAATTTATAAATAACTTTCTCAGTTATTTTGTTCCATTATATATATAGAAAAAAACTTGTGAAATGTCTATTTTAAGTACTGCTGTACTATTTGACTACAATAGATAGATATATAGTTTGGTCAATGGCATAGCCAGAGTCAGCAGTACATATGCTAAAACTATATCACGTGTATGATGTGACCCTCCACCCTATAAATTATATTCAAAATTAGGGTCTTCAAAAGTAACATGATACATGAGTATATACAGTTTATGAAAAAAAAAAAAAAAAAAAAAAATTCCTCAGAAGAATGTTTATTTAAATTGGCATGCTTATTTGATAAGTTGAAAAATTCCCCCATTTGGTGACGTAATTATGAATTTTGTTTTAATTTTTGGTATTTTATCATTATTTACACTGTTTATATTCAAACTATTGTCCTCATCTTTGTTATCACATTTCAGCCATTGTGCCCTCCAGTGCTTCTCAGGTGTATATCAATCTGAGTAACTGATAAGGATTTCTGAATGGAACCCTTTATTTAATCTATGGAAGTAGACTGTTCTCATACCACTGCCCATGTCTAGGAATATCCTGTATAGTTCTTGTTTTACTTCAGTTCAGTTATTGCTCCCCAAGTGCAAGTACACACTGCTTGACCCAGGGATTGAGCTCACAACCACTATGTCACCAAATTCACAGACCATTGCTTTTATCCACTCGCCCACTGTCCCTTCTGCTGTAATAAACTTAGAACCTTAAACCTAAACTGGCAACTGATTAGGCTGCAACTGCTGCTAGCTGTCATGTATTTCTAGAATAGAAATACAATACAATACAATACAAAAGTCGCTAACAAAGAAAGAAAAACAAATAACAGCAAGTCTTTAACGACAGCAGGAATCAAGACTTTGGTAGCAGCAGCAACTAATCAGCAGCCAGGTCAGGTTTAAGGCTCTAAGTTTACTACAGCAAATTGTCCTATGGGACAATGGCCCAGCAGGTATTTGCACTTATTACTTCCCTGTGCCTTTTCTATAAGTATTTCCACAGTAATTGTTCTGATCAGGTTGCTAGGTCTCAATTTCACTGCTGAAATTGCTAGATGCAACCATAATTTCTATTATTTCCTCTCCTGCACTTTTTTGCTTATGGAACTGTTCTGGTTTCTTGCTTTTCCGTAAGCTACAATCTTCAAAAATGTAAACACAATGTCAATCGTCATCTATCTCCTTGACTCATGTCCTCTTGTCGTCCTCCAATTCTTTCACTCTCAGTAACCTCTTGCATCTTAGTGGCTTTTATTTTCTTGCTTTGAATGAAATGATTAATAATGATAAAAAAAGAACTCATTTAATTACTCAAATGGTCGGAGAGGGGGGGATCAGGTATTATTTTGAATGCCACACATAAGTCAAGTCAAGTAAAAAAAAAAAAAAAAAAAAAAAAAAATATATATATATATATATATATATATATATATATATATATATATATATATGATAAACACTGGACACTTTAAAAACAATTCTCTTCCCTGGAGTTAAGGCATTAGATATTGAACATTCCAAACAATAGCCTATATTTTTTGGCCTTGTTACAGATAACGGTTGATTGGCAAAGTGACAAAATAGTTTCTGACATGAAAGTGTACATGAAACAAGTGTTTCTCAATTCCTTCCTAAATAAATAAATAAAGATAAATAAAACTAAAAATGCAACTATTGACATTGATCAACATTTTTACTTGAACGCTTAAAGACCAAATTCAGCACAGTCAAATTGCAGGTAGATAGCTATATGTATGACAAGCTTTGTTCAGTTAAATGGGCTACACAGACTACATCATTGTAGTGGAAGAAATTCTTTTGTAGCCAAAACTTGGTCTATCTGACAATGTTACTGCACTCGTTAGACCCGTCAGTTTCCGCAGAAACAAATAGAATTATAAGGCAAAATGTCACCTTATACAGAAATTAGAGAAGCGTCATGTAAAATCCAGGTTGGACATTCATCAAATTTAGATATTCAGATAAAAAAATATTTGTGCCACGATAAAAAGGTCAAGTTCAAAAACCGTCAAAACCGTTTCATTTAAAAAAAAAAAAAAAAAAAAAAAAAAAAAAAAAAAAAAAAAAAAAAAAAAAAAAAAAACAACTTTCCTTAGGCTAAAATTTTTTTTTTATACAAATGGAAATATTTTCTGAATTTCAGATTTTGTTAATATACAATATTACAGTCAGAAAATTTATCTCTGTGGATGCAACAATAGTTAAATATATCCAACAACTTCATATTTATTCCAAATCTTTGCAAGAATCCCTGGCTTTAAATATGTGAAGTGTCTTAACAACATGTAAGGCATGATTACAATATTTTCATATAGATGAATTTGTTTTAATTTTGTTATATATATATATATATATATATATATATATATATATATATATATATATATATATATAAAAATCACATTGAGTGATGCTGTTAACAAAATAGTGCTCGATGTAATATAACACAGCAATAAATTATATATTAATATAATACATTTTTTTTTCCCCCCTCACCAGTTAGTCAGCACCTGAATATTGCATTGTGCATGAAACTCAGTTGTGCTACTAATTAAGGAAAAAAGTGTGTATTTATTAATATTATGTGTGTGTATGTATGTATGCATGTACTAAAATATCAATACACCTTCCTGCGGTGAAATTAATCAAGGTTTTAAGTGTGTGTATATGTGTAAGAGAGTCAATTTCATGTGATTTCCACTGGCAATTTGCCATTTTATCACAGTCACAGTGGAAATTAATCACCCATCATTTTCTCTCTTCATGGACAGTTCATGTATTTTTCAGAAGATAATCTAAATAGTCATCAGCAGTTGCTGTGAGGCTTTTCTGTAAGGAGAGGCTCTGTGACATCATTTGATCCATATACATTTGTTCTTGAACCATTGACTGCAGACTGAAGTAACAATCCTGCAAGAAAAAAAAATAAAATAAAAGATTATTAATCCTTAGAAATATTACAAAATTTATTGTAAAATTAGAAATATTTAGTTTATATCAAACAGTTTGCAAAAAGAGTTGGTATTTTTTTTTTTTTTACATAAGCATTGCCAACTAGTGGAAGATTAGAAGGAATATTTGAAAACTGTAGAGGTACAGAAGGCGATTATCTCCCTTTGATCTAGATAAGTCACATGAGTCATGTGACGGCCACTTAGAGACGTCACTTCATACAGTGACAAAAGTAAGCTTATTAGTGTCAGGGGGACACATGTTTGTCCTTCCTGAGCTTCCACCCAGAACAGCCAGCTTCCAAATGCTTACAAGTCTATGGTGCAGTTTCCCTTTGGAAATAAAAATTTTCAGCTAGCAGTCCTCATATTGAGAGGACCCAAGACTTGCCATTTCCACTTTGTAGAATATGTCCCCACTTGAAATATAGATGAATCTGGCACATCTGAATCTGGAGTTATAAACATGGCTTATCCAGAAACAGAAGAACCTAACTTTTCATTCTCCTTACATTTTGATTGCCATGTCAATATATGTGATATGATATCTCTACATAGGACATTTGTATATACGTATATGTCAATTTGTATACAATGTAGCATTATAAAACTCTGAGAACAAAGCATGTTTGTCATTCCTTTTCCTTTCACCCATTCTGTTCTGCCCATGAAATATGGCGTTATTATATCATGGATATAATAATGCTTACAATAGGGGGAAAATACACATGGGAGAATAAATCTTCTACACTCTTTTATAACTGCTAATATTACCATGTTTTATTGTGTATAATGAAACCCCATGTTTCTGAAGTTAAAAAAGGGGAATAAATTACATACTTGAGTATAATATGACCCCATAGTAAAGTTATCTCAATGTGAATTTTTTTTAAGAGTTGTATATATTTTTATTTTTTTTTTTTAACTAATCTTCACCTAATACAAGGCCTAAGAGCCACTCAAAAAAGGGAAAAAAAAAAAAAGGAAAGAAAAGAAAAAGAAAACAAAACACACAACATACAAAAACCCACAAAAAAGCCTCGGCTAGCAGCCAGTGCAGTGCTTGTAAAAATCCATGAACCTTATGGTACAAATTTTATGAAATGAACCCATATTATGAATAGAGAAAAAAAAAAAAAAGAAAAAAAAAAGCTATCTACGTTAAGCATTAGGCAATGTGATTTTTGATTGGCTGCAGGTCTGTCTGATGCTACTACACCTAGAATTATTAACAAGGATTTAAATAAATGATAGAAGAGAAAAAAAAAATAAGAGGAATCACATGTAATATCCACCTTTCAATAAAAGACAATTTTGTTTTAAACTCAAAAAAAAAAAAAAAAAAAAAAAAAAAAAAATAATTATGTTATTTCAGTGTTAAAAAAAAACCCCCAAAAAACTAACATACTTTTCTAGCTAAAGTATCTATACTCAACCAGAATGACAATTTCATGATGAGGTACAAAAAGTAATTGATTAGTTTATTAGAAATACTCATTGGTACTTGATTAGCAAAACAAAAAAGAAAAGTGAAGCCTTCTTTTCACACACACACAAGAGAGCTGAAACCTGACAAATAGACCAAATGATTACAAAAAGGTTAGTCTACAAAACTCTGGAGTGGGAGGGGGTGCTGAATATAACATCAATCAGCTAAGTCATAAACTTATATATATATATATATATAAATTTTTAAAAATGATTTTGTAATCATATTTCCAAAAAAAAAAAAAAAAAAAAAAAAAAAAATCTAATATAGGCTCTACTGTTATATCAAGCACTGTTTTTTAAAAATAAAAACAAAAATACTAAAGAACTTTGGATTATTAACATAACAGTTCTTTATATATATATATATATATATATATATATATATATATATATATATATATATGGTATGGTATGGTAACGGATAGCAGCTCAGATTGAAGAATCAGAGCCGAGTTCAAATTCCAGTCAAATCCATTACATGCTAATATCCTTAGGAAATGTATAAATCTTCTACCCCCCCCATCTATGGGTAATTAGCAGGGCAGACTGGCTTCTATAGCCTTGGATGGCAACTGGTCTAAGACAACTCTGAATTCAAAACCTGCAGAGAGTGCATGTGGTGCACCAGGTCTGTGTATTCAGCTCTTCAAAAAAAGTATGGTTGGTTCTGCAAAAAGACTTCACCACTATAATCAAATGATTTGTGCAGGTGGTCTGGTTGTCCGTTTCTAAGAACCAAGTTGCTTAACACTCATCAAAATCAATGTGAGAGTCCAGTTATATATATATATAGTATATATATATATATATATATATATATATATATATATATTTATTCTACCTTTGAGATCAAAATTTTCCATAACCTTGCCCTAATGTTAATTAGGAATGTCAATCTTTTCATTGGCTGTATGATATGCCCTTTGCCAGGGTTACATACAAGTTTTGAATTCAGATTTTTCCTTTTCCTAGACTGGTTGCCAACCATAGCTAGAGAGTGGAATCTTAGTGCAGGGGAAAAGAGATGACTCCATGCCTTTACTTAAGAGTATTTGGTTGAAAATGAAAATAACTCGTTGACTTCTCATTCTATTACACTCGCCAGACAATCACAATTAAGAAGACCTTGAGTATATCATGCTATTTTAGTGATTATTCATTTATTTATTTGCAAAGATATCTTGATCAAACAAAATTGCCTACATAATTTCATAATAGAGCCCTAATGGTGGATGTTACATTCTGGTTTGTGCTACTCTACAAATTGGAATCAAGCCCCAAAACAACATACTTAACTTACTGAGGTGTAAATTCATCCTATTTTGTTAAAAGAACAGAAATTCATTAGGAACAATGTGAACATTTCTACAAAAAGAGAGAGTGAGAGAGAGAGAGAGAGAGAGAGAAAAGGATAAAGTTGGTTATACACAAGTGATAAGGTAAAGTTAAAAATTATATATATATATATATATATATATATATATATATATAAGAAAATGGACAAAGTCCGACAATTTATTTATTAAAGACATTTTTATGTTTAACGTTCTTTTTATAGATACAAGTATAAACAGAGCATTTACTTAAATACTTGTATCTATAAAAAGAACGTTAAACATAAAAATGTCTTTAATAAATAAATATATATATATATATATATATATGCTGAGGTTAATTGGTCTAACATTAACTCTGCAAACCTTCTGGATCTTGAGTGCCAGAAAAAATATTTACCTGCAGTGAAAAGAAGAGGTGAAAACGTTTTTAAGGACAAAATGGCTACTGAGGACAAAAAGTTGGGGACACTTACTTCGTCCACTACGTTTTCCAATTTTCTGTGGTGCAAGTAATATAAGCATGGACAAAGCCAATAATGCAGCAGCACAGGGGACGATGGTCAAGATTAGACGTTCATAGCTTGTACATTCTGGACAGCAACCTCTGAGAGGGGGAAAAAAAAAAAAAAAAAATGGTCAAGAGTGAATAAATTTATTGCAAGTGCATCAATTCCCACCCAATTTGCTTCTTTACTGCTGATCATATTCTGCTTTTCTATTAAAAGAAAAACTGCAAGCACTAATTTTCTGGCATTTATAAGAAATGATTTAATATGAAGAAAATCATTACAAACTAGAAACACCTTATGTTAAATTAACAGTTTTGTGATTTTTATTTTCTCAAATCTTAATTCTTAACTCTCAGTTTAAGAAATAGATAAAGCTCCTTGTGAGTTTCACAACAATAAAATATCTATAGAAATTCTCCTACTGCATCATTAAATATTTGATCTGAACAACATTTAAAATATTGCAGTAAAAACCATAATTATGGATGCAGGTCATTATTTAAAGAAGTAAGAGGGTACAAATGAAAAGATTTGAAATTGGCAAGATTTTGCATTTCACAGAAGACATTAAACACGAGAGCATTATCGCCTCCCTAATCTTCCTTTTTTCTTTTCTAAAACCAAATAGAATCGCCAATGTATCTTTTTTGTCCAATCTTTCCTCGTAATCAAAACTGAATGGTCCATTATTTGTCAGATTTGTTTAACTGTGAGGAGCCAGTTTTTGCTTATTTTTTTTAGAAAAAAATATGTATTATACATGGGGAATTATGGTCACTGTATTTTTTTTTTTTTTTTAATTAAGCTTCCTTCACATGAACTGCAGTAAAATTTTGAATATGTAAGAATTAAATATTACAGTGGTCACCAGAATTTCAGAAATACCAAAGTGAGGCATGGCCCAAAATCAGTCGAGAACCACTGATATAAAGTCTCAAAACTGTCTATTCTGACAGTCAAACAAATGCCTAACTTTCAAGTAATCTATATGGGAACATGACTTACGGTATTTTAATGTTTGTTTTTTTCAAGATTTATAAAATGAAGTAACACAATCATATTAGATTAGACTTTGCCAATAAAGTATTCACTTAAACAGAAATAATTTTACTGCCCAAAATTTAACTATATCCATTTAAATTTTTCAGTGAGAAATTACCCTTAAATTGCGATTACTTAATCTTTATACTTACACACATGGATGGAGATGTTGGATGATAACGACGACAGCACCATTGCATAACTTATCAAAGAAACTCAGAGTTCCAAAGACAAAAGCACCACATTCCTAGAAAAGAAATGGTACAGAGTGTTGCTTCTTCAATTAAAAAAAAAAAGAGGAATAACGAAAAAGATATTGATAGTTTCATTCAGCAGATGCAACACTGCCAAGCAAGACCATGAGAGCTAGTGAGACAAGGTGGCTGTTGTAGGCTCAATGTTTTCATGGCATGAGATTTAGCAGCATTCAAAAGTCATATTGCAAGCATATTTTCAGTTTGAACAATTTAGATTTACTAGAAATACCAGAGAACATTCCAGTTTTCTTATTTGGATTTTGTGATGAAAAAAATTTTTAAGTTAATGATTGAAGAGGCTCCTAGCAGGTTATACACAGAGAGAGAGAGAGAGACACACACACAGAGAGAGACACAGAGAGAGAGAGAGAGACACACACACACACAGAGAGAGAGAGACAGAGAGAGAGAGAGAGAGAGAGAGAGACACAGAGAGAGAGAGACACACACACACAGAGAGAGAGAGACACACAGAGAGAGAGAGAGAGAGAGAGAGAGAGAGACACAGAGAGACAGAGACAGAGAGAGAGAGAGAGAGAGACAGAGAGAGAGAGAGACAGAGACAGAGAGAGACAGAGACAGACACAGACAGAGACAGACAGAGACAGAGACAGACAGAGAGACAGAGAGACAGAGACAGAGAGACAGACAGAGAGACAGAGACAGAGAGACAGAGACAGAGAGAGACAGAGAAAAAGACACAGAGAGAGAGAGAGAGACAGACAGACAGAAGGGTTACAAACTTACAGTGTTGTCTCCAATTAATTCAGAACTAAGCGCCAAAGAAGTGACCAAAATAGTGGACCCGCCAATGCCATTAAGTGCTGCAGTGCCAAAAACTTGCAAAGAATTTTCTGGGATGAACCACGTCCAGATGCAGAAACTTACAGCAAAGACAAGACCCATGAAGTAAGTGAACTAAAAAAAAAAAAAAAAAAAAATTTCAAAGTAAAATTTGATGGCAACCAAGAAAATAAACTCAATTTATACATTCCACTAAGTGGTTACACTCCTTTTCAGGGGTTAAAATAGGCTAATAAAAAAGAATCTTCAAATAACACAGGAGCTGACAAAATTAAGGATAAATTTATTTCTTCAATTATATCACATTATGATGATTAAAATGATTTTCTTTGATTTTGTTTCTTAAATAGCAAAGTTGTAATAATATCCGAAGAAAGAAATTTAATAATTACCTTAGTACCTATGAAATTGGTAATTGACCTCATTAAAACTGAACTGATAAATCCACAAATGTATACCAATAAAGGAACAAGGGCAATATATTCCTGAAAAACAAAAGCAAAATTACTTAAAAATCTGTGATATTTGAGATCTTTTGTTAGATAATGTTGAATTTGAATTACTTTTACTTTTTGAGATAGAGGGAGATATATATATATATATATATATGAGAGAGAGATAAAAAGAAACAATTTTTTGTTGCAGTTGGTTCAGATAAATCTGTTTTTAGTGAGAAAGTAAGATTGTCTATACTCAATATATCTTGTAAATATGAGCTTGTGTTGTTTATCAGTGACATTAATATTGGGTTCATTGATAGTTTTGTGTCTTTCAACATCATACTGTCTTGCCCAACTGACCCTGCCATTATTGATCACTCCACCACCCATTTCTCCCACACCTTGTTCTACCTTCCATTTACTCAAGCTCATCAAGTACATGACACTGCTTTCTTTGTCCCTTAATCTGCCCTGTGAGTATCAGATTTTCCAAGCCCTCCCTCCTCATTATGTGTCCCAGAAATTTCAACTACATCTTCCTGATGTTTATAAGTTTCCTTTTTGATTCCATTTTCTCCAAAACCTTGTGGTTGCTCACATGTTCAGTCTATGATATCCTCAGCATCTTTCTGTACAACCACATTTCTGTTGCTCCAAATCTCTTTTTCGTCTTTCAGGAGATTGTCCAGCATTCACTGCCATACAGGAGGACAGATATCATGTAACAGTTCAATACACTTTTCTTTGTTTCTTACTGTTGGAGTGTTGGCAACTAAACTGGCTACCAAACTCCAATTTCTTCTGAGTGGGACAGGTTGTTAGCAATCCAGTAGCAATAAAAATAAGACCTATCAAAAGGTGGAAAAACTCAACAAGTCAACAGTCAGTTAACTAGAGGTGGTGTCTCAATAAATCACCATGGAGAAGGCAATGGGAAATCACTCCACCATCAAGAAGTAATATGACTTTAGCACTTGTTTTTAATATTTTAAGTTTTCTTTTTATGGGGTAGAACAAGTCATGCTAAGTTCCCAAATTATTATTTGCTTGGTTTTATTTGAATATACTATCAGATCTGGATGTAGTATCATTGGAACAATGATTTTTTTTTTGTGAACTGTGAGTTGTTTGCCAGTGTCTGTCCCTATTCAATAAAATTGTTAACTTTATGTATTTGATTATTAAAACACAGAGTAAAGCAAAAAAAAAACTTCAATAGAAGAAAGTATATATACTTACTTTACTTAATTTAATGGATTCTGTGAGATAAAGAGGAAAATAGATCTGGGAGATATTTACATACAACCGAGTTGACATATAAAGCAGGAAGATCTGAAAAACATGAAAATTCAAGACAAAAAAGATTTTAATCTTCAGAAATTACAAAAATGTCTACAGAAATGTAAGTGATAATCAAGTTCAAATAATATTGATGATGTAAGGCATGTACTTATTCAGGTACAAAGAAAATATAACATTTTTAAGGGCCACTGTCTTATTCAGGTTTCAACAAAGATGAAGACAATAGTCCAAATAATGTAAATAGTGTACATAATACCTCATCTCAGAAATATAGACAGAAAACAAATGACATCTTGGATTTTTAAGGGCCAATGTCATCCAGATTTCAATTATTGCAAGTAAAACCTGAAGAAATCACTGTACTGAATGAACTCTAAATATATGAAGGTGCATAAACTTTCATTTTCCTTTTTTTTTTTTTTTTTTTTTTAAATATGGACACATCTTTCCTTAAGCAAATGTGAAGGTCTCTGAAGGCAACCCATAACAAATTGATCCCACAAAGGTTTATTATTGAAAAGAATTTGGTTTTCATTACTTGAGGCTCTGTATTTGAGACCTTGTGCCATGCTAAAATATAACAATTGACATTTTGGATACAATGTAAGATTGAATTTACAAATGTACAGGAAAATGAGAGCAAGAATTTTTCCACTGTTTTTGCTCACAGAATCATGAACAGTCAATTTTTCTGTCAAAACCTGCTATCAGGTATCCGAATAGGTGGGTACAGATATTGACATTCAAGGGGGAAAAAAATAAAAAATAAAAAAAATAAAAAAAATAAAGACCATTGCCCAACAATTAAATAAAATTGTACAATCATCCATACATGTTAAGAAGCAGGGTTATTGAAAAGTTCTCAATCTGACGAAGAAGCCTTAAAAACAAAAAGGCTATGATCTTTATATTATTAAATTATTATGAAATAATGCAGCAATTTTGCACAAGTATAGGAAGTAGAAAACCTTTCAAATTTTTATTAAAGTTTTAAAAACAAACATATATATATATATATATATATATATATATATATATATATATATATATAAATAAAACACAAAAATATAAAAGAAAAGGGAAAAAGATGAAGGATAAGAAAAAAAAAAATTACTCTTCTTAAAGTGGTGGATTACCAGAAAAAGGGTAACTGGTTATCACTTCTCACTCTTCAGACCACCAATAGAGAACAAAAATATCTTTCAGTGATTCCCCCCCCCTCCAACCACCACCATAATCAGTAAAGTAACATTTCTGAAATGAGGTATTGTAATTATTTGCACTGTTTGGACATTGTACGCTCTGGCCTCCTTCAGGTGATTGGAATTTCAAACTAAACCCTTTATTTCATCCACCTGAGTAGATAGTTCTTGAATCAGCACATATGCTAGGCCACAAAAATCTCGAATGCCAGCCAAGCATAGAAATGAATACAATATGGGAACCAGTAATACAGAGTGCTAGAGAAAAGCAATAACAAAATTGCAATATGAGCTCTGGTAAAAAAAAAAAAAAAAAAAAAAAAAAAAAAAAAAGAGAGACTGAGTTATTAAGTTTATAAGTCCCCAGGCTTCATACACTGATATCCTTGAGGATACATAGCTTAGTGGATAAAAGCATTGATTAGATCCACTGACTTGTCCCAAAGAGTTGCGAGTTCAAGTGGCTACTGCAGTGGTGAACAAAAACTTGGAGAGTTGAGTTAAAGAGAGATCCTGAAGAGGCATGGCATGTGGAACTAAAACAATCTACCCTGGTTGATGAAATAAAGGTTTCATTTCAAAATTCCAATCACCTAAAGAAGACCAGAGGGTACAACAGCCAAAATGTGAACATAGCAATAAAGATGAGGACAATAGTCCAAACAAAGTACATAATGTATATCAACAAAGTGCATTCAGATTACCATCTGAGAATTCTTGAGACCATTTAATTTAAGTCTAAGTGGCCTTCCCTCTGTATAGTCATTGTGCAGATATATTTTGTACCCAATTAGCTCTGAAAAGTAAGGTGATAACCAGTTCGTCCATTTTTCCTTTATATTCACCACTTTAAAGAGTAATTTATCTTTGCTCTTCCTCCCTTATATATATATATATATATATATATATATATACACACACACACAAACAAACAAACGCCTTCCCACAAAAAGTAATTTACAAACCCTCTACAACAATCATGGTAAACAATTAGTCCAAAACTACTAGATCACATGAAAAAAAGAAAAAAAAATCTAAATTCATTTCATTTCTTCTAGAGAAAGAACACAGGTGTGTCCCAAATTATGATTTTTAACATTTTTCCATTTGGTCAAAAGGCCTACTAATATACAATAAATATTATTAGTCGTATTTTTATATACATATAAGAGCATTTGAAAAGAACTCACCATGTAGAACTGTGGTTCAAACCACCAATCCTTCCATGTCATATGGACAATACTGGATCTTATAAGACCAGAAGTTTCCTTATCTGTCACTGGTGTTTGGATATGGTTTCTGATATCTGGACGTTCTTTTGTGCCAATGTGAAAGATAAATGTAAAAAATACACCAATTCCACAGACAATAAAAACCAAAATCTGAAAATGGAAATAAAAATCAATGTTTTGTTAATGGTTAATCTTCAGAGAATGAATATAGGAAAAGATAAAAGAACAAGATTAATTAAAAAGCAAAAATACCTACACAAGAATTTAAAGAATCCATCAGTGATATAGTCAATCAGTTATGTGCCATGCATGATACACGCTTAGGTGATCATGTATCTTTCAATACATGACTGATGAGGCAGATTTTTTCCCCAGCAGTAGGTTGCCATTTCTTTCTGTGGTAGACCAGAGAATCCAGCCTGTCCTGTTATTTATCCATAGCTGAGGGGAGAAGAGGATTCATACCTTGCCCAAGGGTATTAGCACGTTAGTGAATGTAATGAATTTGACTGGAATTCAAATCCAGCTCTCTGATTCTTCAAATTAGAGCCGCTATCCGTTACTCCACTGTAGTAAGTACTAGAAAACAAACAAATGAGGATGCAGCCTGTGTCACAAGATTGATCCCCCAAGATTGGTGCGGGAGACCATTCAGATAAATTTTACAAGCCACCAACTTTTTACAATTTCCTAGTTCTAGCAAATAACAGACTGTTGAGAAAGTAATCTATCATTAAAATATGCAAACTTGAAACAAAACAAGAACTGCAAAACATCAAAGAAATTTAGACTGACATCTTTTCAATGCTTGCTGCCCGAATTCTATAAAGAATCTCTGTAGTGTATTTCAATGATGGTCTTGAAGATTAAAAGAAAAAAAAAAGTGGGTGACAGGTAAAGGTTTGTTTTGGAAGATGAATCATTTCAAATGACTTTTTTAAAAAGGCATTTGTTAAAGCAAAACTTTATTGAAGCACCAGAAAATGATTATGACATTTTCAATTACACATGAGACGGCAAATTTGAAGGAAATTGAAACAAGGATTTTGAGTCTTGAATGAATTCTCAGTGAATCACTTGTAACAAACTGCTTATCTGATGTAGATCAGGAACAAAACCCAACCTCTTAAATGAAGAATCATAGTTCTTCAGAACTTCCTACCTTTTGTAGCTGTAAGCAAATCCCCCCCTCCTTACTACTACTCATAGTCCATGTTCTGCCATCCATTTACCAAAGCTCGTTTTTGAGCGTGTAAATTGCTCAGTTTATACACTGATACTTACCGGGCACAGGGATCCATCCCTGTGCTGGTAGTATCACAGCTATAACTAGCTTGAACCGGCTCTGACCAGCAGCCCAAGTGAAAACACTCGGGTCCTCACGTAAAAAAATGACCTTGTGTCACAACCTGACTCAGTGGGTGGGGAGGTCAAGTAAATCTCTACCAAAGCTTCTCCTCTGTATCCCTCTTGCCTTTAAATGTTTTGTTAGGGTCAAATTCTCCAATTTCTTACCCCAACAGTGCAAGGTTTCACTCAGCAAAAAACCCAGAGACATGTATCTTGACAATCATTTTTCTTTTTTTTTTTTTTTTCTTGATAATTACAATATTTCCATGGCAATTCTTCTAATGAGTTCTCTTCTTTGGTACTTTAACTGCATGAATTTCAACATACAAGATTAGCAAATAGGTCTCAAAATTTTACTATCAAAACAGTACATGTAACCACACAAGGTGCAATGGATAAATTGTCACGTAAATTACTCAAAAATGAACATAACACTGACATCTTATTTTAACAGATATATTTACCAAAATTATACAAAATTATCTTGAAATGCTAAAGAGTAAATTTAAAAAAAAAAAAAAAAATAAATAAATAAATAAAAAAATAAAAAAATAAATCCCCATTAAAACTTCAACCACAGCCTCCAGATAACTTTGAAATCTGCATCTCTTCTGGATGGTCTCCTTGTTTTAAGTTGGTGAATGCTGCCATAATCCTTACCTTCAGTTCATCTTTGGTATTACAAGGAGTTTTTGCAGGCCTCTCACTCAACTGCCACCCCATCCATAATAATCAAGGGGGTTGCAATCTGGGGAGTTAGGTAGCCAGATGTAAGGGGTAATGTGGTCACAGAAATTATCTGACACCCATGACTGGGTTCTCCTGCTTGTGTGGAATGTTGCAGAGTTCTGTTGCCAAACATAGGGCAGAGCTACCTCTTCAAGGCACTTGATGTAGGAATCCTTGTTGAGTGTTGCCCTCACTAATAAATCCGGGAGTTCTTTATGTATCAGCACAGTTCGCCATACCTTCATAATCACCATCAGACTAATCCAACTCTTTCTGAATCCTCTGCACTGTCCTCAAATTGATACCCAAACACTCTGAAATCTTCATATTGGAGCTTTCAGCTTGAATTCCAAGCAGTACAGTATGCGGTTTCGAAATTTTTGGTAGAGTGAATTGTGTTGTGTCATGATGCTGTTTTTCTCACAGAGGGTGCCCAACTGACCCTACTATACTGTGCAGTTGACAAAAATAAAAAACAACCAATGCACGTGTGCAAAATTAAAAATATAAAATTGCAACAATTTACCCTGTAGATTCTTTTCTCACCTGCGGAACTCTGATTTTCTGATTGTCTTCCTCCTACAACCTTCAAAAATTTAAATGCAACATCAATCATCATATCCTACCTTCATGAATACTGTTCTTTTATTGTCCTTTCTACTTACTACAATCTTCTCATTCTCTTTCATTCTCAGTAGCCCTGTGCATTTCTTGGCGTGAAACAATATTTTTTTTTTTTTTTAAGCATTTCATCCTAAGCAAGACAATAAAATCACTAAGATATTTATAGACAAAGAACGTGTCAATAAAATTTTCAGCTTTTCCATCAAACACTTGATCCCTAGTAAGGTGGGAAACGTAGAACATTGGGCTCATTGCAAAGATACACTAGCGTGCATCATCAGTGATGGTGGTACTGGGTTCCTTAATAGTTTTCAGTCTTTCAACATAATGCCATTTTACCCAGCTGACCCAACCATCATTGATCAGGCAAAAAGCACAAAATCTAGCTGCAAATTGTAACCAAAAATGGTTTATGCCACTGTGTAATAATTACATTTGAATCTTGCTTTCCAAAATGCAGACAAATTTTATAAATCATACTAACGGTTATACAGATCTACAAAGAGTTGCTTGAGGATGAAACTGGCCAGAAAACATACCAAGTTGTACTCTTGCATAAGATTATTCAATCAACTATGTAAAAGCTTTTGTTACTATGTTCAGATGATCGATGTGGTCTTCCCTGAATAAAAATATGCTATTGTAAAAACAATGATTTGTACAGGTACAAATAAAACACACCTGAAATTTATAAGAATCTGCAGGTCCCAAGGGGTCATCACTCTGTGACCCCAAGTCAAATAGGAGCCAAAAGATACCATAAACAGCTAAATTGGAAAGCACAGTGAAGGCATAACTGAAAAAAATGAAAAAAAAAATGATCTTTTTAGAGAGACAGAAAGAGAAAGAAAGACCTTCCATATGTAGCTAAACACTCAAATTGTGTTGGTTTAATTTTATACAATGGTCAGTCATTTAATACCCAACAACTATTGGCCTTATATGCTTTGTTTTATACATTCAACATAAAAAAGGAAGATGAGGATTTAGAGCAAAAGAAAAAAAACAAAGGAAAAAAAATGAGGTATAATAAAAAAAAAACAAAAAAAAACACAGTAAATAAAAAGACACACACAGACACAAAGCAAAGTAGAAAGAAAAGCACAAAAAAGCAAAGAAAAACAGTGAAGAAAAAAAAGAAAATTATATTATCAGTGAAAGTGCATAAAAAACAAGCACCATTGAATGTTAAAACTCTTCTACATAAAAAAAAAAAAAAAAAAACGATTTTAATTTATCAAATTTTGATATATTTAAAGTTTTAAATTTTACATTCCAAAAAATATCTTATCAAATTATTTTTTTAAAACTTTCATTTTCCCTTTTTAGCAGCTTGCCTTAGAATATTTATCTACAAACCAACTGCACAATCTCTGCTTATTAAAACCATAATTTTATACACGAGACTTACTCTTTCAGTTGTTTTTTTTTTTTCTTTTATTAAGTGCAACAGGATTAGGTTCAGTAGATTATAAAAAAAAAAAAAAAAAAAAAAATACATAATCTACAACTGAAATTAGGAATTAATCATCAGCAATTGTGAGAAAATATTTGGCATTATCATCATCATTAGTGGAACTGCATGTTCCAAAGCACAGAAATAATTACATCTCTCTGGACATATTATCCATTGCCACTCTTCACAAAGTAGCAATGAATTATAAAACTATGGACTAAAAGGCCACAAATGAAAATCAACAAAGCTTTAGATATCACATGTACAGTGACCTTAATCAAGGTAGCATCATGTGACATTCAACAGCTCACAAGTTAGAACTAGGTGGTATTTCTTGGTACATGCTATAACAGTTAATAATCAGTACTACCCATCCTGCTTGGTAGCCAAAGTAGTTACACATTTCCCTAGAAAGCTCATGTTTTAAAAGGCTTAATGCAGATTTTTAAAGCAGGTAAGCCTTTTACTTGGGAGAACACTTCTGCCATTTTCATTTGCTATTTTTGGGGAGGGAGGGCACGTGAAGAAGCTATTCATTAGCTTTAAGAAAATGAAGAGGAGTTATGAGTAATCATACACTAATTTCTTATTGCAACTATAAGTGCATTTATTCCAATTTATAAATTGTCAAACTTGAATAAATTCCTGGATCATAAACATGAAGAGGAATGACAATATTGTGTGTTGTGGAATATTTTCAACACTCACCGTATACTGTTGAGTTCTACCCTTTCATTTTTGTCTTTTGTCAGTTCAGGAATAAGAGAAAGATGAGAGATCTGTACACTCGCCCAACCAAATTGGAAAATGAAGATGAATAATGCGTAATACCAAAACTGATTTTCAACAGGATCATGACTGCAGGAGATGCACAAGTTGAAGATGAATGGAAAAGTTAAGAGAACGCACAAAGATCCTACAAGGAAATAAAAAAAATTGCAATTAGGATGAACGGATTCATTTGTTTTATATCAGTAATGAGTAAAAAAAAAAAAAAAAAAAAAAATTTCCTAACGTGTTGGACTTTTAGTCAAAGTAAATATCTATCAGCTCGTTGTCATAAAAAACAATGTTCATTTAAGTTTTTTCTGCCAGTGGCTTTTAGTAATTTTAAAGCTTCAGCCAGATTTTAACATTAACAGTTTAAGAGATTAGCACCAATTAGTCAGAGGATATAGTCACCTTATTCACTAGCATCTACCTCTTCAGTTCTGAGGCGGGTGGGTATCAGGAGAACAGAGAACTATATGGGAAGAAAGATTATTTCTCAATGTAAACATCAGGACTGAAGAGAAAATATACTACATACTATAGCATTATTGAAGAAAATACTGTCATTAGGTTATTAGAGGTGAGTTACCTTAAATAGACAGGGTTAATCACTGTGACAACAGAAAGAAAGAAATATTAGCCAACAATATGAAACATTTGGATAATGATAGGCTAAAGAATAAAGCAAATAGTGACAACTATTCACTATAGACTTGCTTAACAAAAGACATAAAAACACAATAAGAAAAAGAAAATTACATGCACAAAAAAAAAAAAAAAAAAAAAAATCACACATGAAAAGAGGGCATTTTTTTATCTTTATCTCCACAGTTTCCTTGTCTTTGTAGCTCTAACAAATATTTGTTCCCTTGCTGTCTCTCTACTCCCATTTATATAAACACATTCATAGGCTATTTGCTGTTTCCCTCTGCTTGTCTTTTCCTTCAAATATGTCCTATGAGCATCAAATTTTCAACTTTCTCTGAAATTTCAACTCATTTAGATTGTAAGTATAAGTCTCCTTTTCATTCCTGGCTTGTTAATTTTAATGTCTCCAAAATGAATCTTCTCCCTTTTAATCATCCAAGAGAACCCTTTTACCTTCCATCAGTTTGGCTGATGCTAACCTCCAGGAGAGTGACTCATTGCGCCTTTTCTAACATTTTCAGCTGACATGATACGGTATATTGAATTAATTGCTAAATCTTCAGTTAAGTAAATTGGTTCATGATGTCATGCTAGACAATTTTTCTCACTAGAATCTATCTTGCATATTTATAAATTGACCATTTGTCCTTGTTTTGAATATTGCTGCTACATCTGGTCTGGTGTTCCTGCTATATCTTTAGAGAGGCTTGATAAAATCCAAACAAGAATTATTGGTCCTGACATCTTGACTTCAGTCACTTCCCCACTGCCATAACGCATCTTCCCTATGCCTTTTCTATAGATGCTTTCATAGTAATTGTTCTGATGAACTTTTCTCTATGTTATAGGTAGACTTTATGAATTTAAGCGCAGTACTAGATTGGAAGCAAGGTCTCATCATTTTACAGTTGGCTAGATGTAACCACAAGTTCTATACTAACAGTTTCTTATAATGCACTTCTTGCCTCTTGACCTCTCATGCTACATCTTGTTTTCAGTCAACTTTAAACTTCTAAAAATTTAAATGCAATGTCAATCATTATCTTCCATTTTCTTAATTCTTGTTCTTTAATCTATGGAGGTAGACTTCTCGTTCCATTGGGCATGGCTAAGGATATTTCGTCTAGTTCTTATTTTTAGTACTGCTCACTTATTGCTCACCCAATTAAATAAAGGGTTCAGTTTAGAATTTCAAAAACACAACAGCCAAAATGTGATAAAAACAACAAAGTAGAATAGTTTGAATATAAATAATGTAAATAATAATAAACTCATCTCAGAAATTTAGACAGATTTTCTGTAACACCACAGATCGAGATCTTAGTCACAGAAAAAACAAAATTAAACTTTGTATTTCTCTTTTTGATTTTTTTTTTTTTTTTTAATGGCTTATCAACCCTTTGTGGGTTATTTGTTATTTAAAGCTAAAAACATTCTGGATTCTAAGAAAATTTTTCTTTTTGTGAATGAATATTGTAGTAACAGTTTTTTGGATATGATTTTTCTAGATACAAGTTTTACTATTTAACCCATAGCTGGGGAATGGATTCATACCTTTTTCAAGAGTATTTGCACATAAGTGAATCTAACAAACTCAACCAGAATTCCAATTCAGCTCTCCAATTTCTTTTGAAACTTTAAAATTATGTTAAAAAAAAAAAAAAAGTAAAAGGTTCAGTTTAGTATAATACTTACATTGTAAATTATGAGCATTTGTTTTTATTGTTCTTTTTGTCACAATTTTAATTTGCTTTCCATTTAAATTCTGCACAATTTTTATTTGTATGTACAAAAGTCATAACATGTTTTCCAATTTATTTAACTTGTATACATTGAGCCACAACTTTAAGGATTTAACCTCTGCATTTTTATGTCTGATTTTTCCTTGTATTCTCAAATCCAGCAAGAGAGGATTTTGTATATTGTCACATTGTCCTCTAGTAAGGCATGACCTTTGCAAGATGCTTTAATGTTTGGTTGTGCAATTTAATATTTTTTTTTAAATCTAAAGTTTACCCAATAAAAGGTTCAAGAATCACTCAGTGTAGAGGGTTATTGAACAAGGCATGTGATACCAATGTAAACAGATGATACAAAGTGATGAGGATAATGATTTACCCTGAACTTGAAAAGTTAACACAGCCTAATAGGTGTGTGCACGCATGTATGAGGGTAAGATATTCTCCACTCTGCAGCTTTTTACCCACAGATGCAACATTGCAAACCATTTTTTAGTTTTACCAGTTCAGACCTTTACAGAGTCTTGTGAAAGGTTTATTCTCCAATCTGCAGCCTCTTTCCCCATATGTGCAACATTTCAAGCCTCTTGCTAATCTATCACTATTTCCATGGCAAATAGTCAGATAAACTCTAATTTTTAGTTTCACCAGTTCAGACATTTACAACCAGGACATGCCATAGTACTTTCAAGGAATCAAATTGCCCTCATTCCCCACCCACCCAGCATTCCAAATGTTAGATTTCCCAATCAGATTTTTCCCAACAATCCAGTTCTGTTTGGTTAGTTTTATGGCATATCAACCTCAATGGGTCATTTAATGCTGACAACTATATTTTTTTCATAGTAATATTTTGGTTTGTCAAAAATCTATTTCTAGTAATACTTTTTTCCTCAAAAATTTGTAGCTGGTAATATTATTTTTACAACATCTCTAGCTGGTAATATTATTTTTACAACATCTCTAGCTGGTAATATTATTTTTACAACATCTCAACATCTCTAGCTGGTAATATTATTTTTACAACATCTCTAGCTGGTAATATTATTTTTACAACATCTCTAGCTGGTAATATTATTTTTACAACATCTCTAGCTGGTAATATTATTTTTACAACATCTCTAGCTGGTAATATTATTTTTACAAGATCTCCAGCTGGTAATATTTTTACAACATACACAAGATATTATTTTTCTCTCAGCTGGTAACATTATTTTTTTTCTTTTTTCAAAAAATTTTTACTATTTCTGGTGATAATTTTTTTTTTAATAATTTTTTCTGGTAATATTAAAACCTATTTTTTTTTAACACTTTTGTTCAAAAATGCAAATTTTTTTTTTTAAAACCTTTCAAAGGTTTACTATTTGCCCATAGCTGAGACCCTAACAGGTGATACCACCCGGGGTCAGATTGACCTGGGAACACCAACAATTAAGAGGTGGTTCCATGTTCTCAAAGCCCTGATCGGGTTGCTTGTTTAGTTTAGAACTGGATGCAGATGTAGTTTATGTAACATCAGGATGTAAAAGTACCCAAATACTGCCATGATTTAATTTCAATGAAATCAGATTAAAATGTAATATTGCAGTCATATTTGGGTGAAAATGACAGTGTTTATGTGGCTTTGTGGTTGATGAATACAAGGTTCAAGAATCACTTCAAGTTGGTTTGAACCCTGGACATTGTAAAGAAAGGTAATTTAACGAGAAAGTGAAAATGAAGATAATGATTCACCCTGGACTTGAAAAGGTTAACTTTGTAATGTTCAGGGAAGCTTTCATGTGGGTGTACCAAAAAGCAGTAGTTCTTGGCAGAAAAAAAGCTTTCCAAGTGAAACCTATTTAGAAATGGAATACAAGGGATATAATGGTGATTCAACTGTGGACATAGCATGGCCTGTCCTATCTACAAAGGTCCGAACTGATGGAATCTTGTCTGAACATTTTTTCATGAAAATATTGAATTTTCAACCACACTCAATCAGGATATTGGTATCAGAATTTAATGATCTACAAGAAAATCAATGTTGCTAGGAAGTTGGGAAGTAACCGTTTCTTTTAACAGCACTCTTTGTGCAGCCGAGCAGATTAGGTTATCTCTGATAAAAGCTATGTACATCAGCAACACAATGGAACTGTAGACCGATTCTTTTTATAATGATCTATAAGAATCTTCACTTCCTATCACCTCCTTTCAATAGCCAAAGCCTGGCAGCTGATCTCTCATCTGACCTATTCTAAAAAGATCAGTGGATGGAGGCACTGTCTTGTAATATTTAATATCTCCAAAACCAAGCTATAAACATTTCATCACCACAGAGTAGACCCTGAACAAATATAATTTCAATGAGGTTCCTTGTTTTGAATGTCCATTGAGACAAGTTCTATCCCAGATCTCAAACGGAACTCCTATATACAATTCATTGCTAGAGAGACTGGAAAAAATTCGTTCCTTCTATGACACCAGAATATTGCTGCCATATCTGGGCTGGAGATGCTCAATCCTCACTTTCAAGCCTTGAGTTCCAAATTTTTATGCAGCTTTGAGTGGGATAACCCACTATCCATGCTACAAGCCTTTCTACTCAATTACTATTTTCATGGGAAATAGTCTGACAAGCTACATTCCTCAGTGCCACCAATTCAGACGTTTACATCTAAGTCAAATCATCCTTATTCTATTTGTGTTTCATTGGTAAGAAGTAGTTTCTATTCAGACAAATTCTGCAAAAAAAATGCTACTTTTTAGAGCAGACTTCCAAGATGATGCTTCCTCTATCACTAAAATCTTAACCTTTTCAAGTCTAAGGTCAACTATTATCTTTCAACAACTTCATTCCATAACCCCTACTTTGAGTGGCTCCTTTCTTTGTACTTAGTGAACAACAGTTAAAAAAAAAAAATTTAAAAAAATGAGAAATACAGAGAATGAAATGTCTTTCATATGGACATGTTCAAAGAGCACCTCAATGCGGTGTAATTGTTATTTTGACTGAATAGCAAGTTTGATCCTCACTGGGTACCCCATACTTTCAGCCTTGTGCTACATCTAAGCTTAAAAAAAAAAAAAAAAAAAAAAAAAAAAATCAACCTACTGACAGGTTCAAATATATAACATAATTTAGAGAGATTAGGTCATATGAATTATGCTTATTAGTGAAATAGGAGGATAAAAGCCTCGGTAAGTCATTTTGCTGTAGGATTGGGCTTGAGGTTAATGTCATCATCCAGGTGATAGTGGAACATTCATCTGGGGGTGACTGGTTATGGTTTTGGGATGATGCTAGGACAATACAAAATTCTTAATTAAAACTCAGAAAGGAACTAATTCTTTAAAATAAAAATAAATATTTATTACTTTTCACCAATAGCAGCACATACATAAAAGAAAATAAAAAAAAACTTTAGTACTTTTAACATCAATGAATGTTGAATGACTTAAATCTTGATAGAACATTAATATCTAATTGTAACAACTAATTTCGCTATAGAATACAACACAAGAAAATACTTTTCTATCAATCTCTTGGTTAAAAAGCTTAAATATTATTTGTTAATGGTTCTTTTGTAGGTTATGTTTTCTATTTACATTATTCAGACTATTGTCCTCATCTTTGTTGACATATTTATTACAACGTTTCGGTCATTGTACGCTCTGGCCTTCAGATGATTAGAATGTCAAACTGAACCCTTTATTTCGCTCACTGGGGTAGACTGTTCTCGAGGACACATGACACTGGATAAAGGCATTAGTTAAATCCAGTCACAGGACCCAAAGAGTGAATTAAATACCCAGTTAAGGCAGGGGAGAACTTGGAGAGGGGAATTAACAGGAGATAACTGACATCCATTAAACATGGCACTAGAACAGTCTACCCCAGTGAGCAAAACAAAGGGTTTAGTTCAACATTCCAACCACCTGAAGAAGGCCGGAGCATACAATGGCCAAAACATAAATATGGCGACAAAGTTGAGGACAATAGTCCGAATAATGTAAATAATGTACATAATACCTCATCTCAGAAATATAGACAATTATGTTTTCTGTTTATCATAGACTAGATTGAAATGATAATCCGTCTCTTGTAAATCTCCATAGCCCTCCTGTTCAGCAGCATTAGCCTAGGGAAAGCAAAGACCAATTCCAAAAAATAGTGGCTGCAAGGTACAGAGACCACAGTTTAATTATTGAAGGAATAAAAAATATTTTTTAAACATTTTAAGGAGGGTTTTATTATTCTGCTTACAACTATAAATGATATGGTTTAAACATTTTGATTTAAAGAGAGTTTCAAATTTTTTGAGAGCATTTCAAGATGATTGAAAAACAATCTGGAAGCCTGGCAGATACCAAAAATGTCAGTTTCAAACATGGATAATGTTAATGATAATAATGATAATATTATACAATTTTAAAAGCAATCTGGATTACCATCATCAATCAAGTTTATTCTACTTTGAAAAAATAAATAACTGACCAGTTTTCAAATGGAATTTATAGGATTTATCATTATTTAGGCTATTTACATTTGGACTCAACAACATCAAAAGATGGGCAGGCAATGACAGAAACGGCAAAGATGGTGATAACAACAACAAAGATGAGGACAATAGTCCAAATGTAAATAGTGTAAATAAAACTTTTCAGAGTCTTCTAAAATCCTACTATGTAAGTATATAACATTTCTTGATTAGAAATGGCAATTCAGAATGTAAATACAGGTGACACAAGGAATCAAGCTTTTGTGAATTTGAAGGATATATATTACTTACCTACGAAGTGCCAAGACCTTCGTTTTGGAAAGAAGAGACATCCATTACCTCTGTCAGACTCTATACCCACAAAAGTTGTCGAAATAGCATCGACTACTTGACCTATAAGCATTAAGTAACCTGTGCTAACATTATCAAATTCAAGAACCTTGTGGAAGAAGACTAGGAGATATGAAAACCACATAGAACTTGTGAGGTCATTAAAGACATGGCCAACACCATATGTTAGCTTCCGCCATAAAGGCATTAATGTTTTTTGCTTTTCATTACGGATAATAGAATGTGGTGGTTGTTGCTGTAAATGTTCTGTATCTGCAACGTCTTCCATTTTTTATAGTCTGTAGCCAGAACCTTCTGCACAATAAACTGACCAGGAGCAAAAAGTCTGGGATGTTGTCAGAAGGAAGAGGGTTAATGTTGGTCTTTGGAGGTTATTCGTTGGATGTCAAAGAATCATCATGGTATGTCTGTGGTATAATCTGAAAAATAGAAAAAGAACAAAATTGAATGGCAAGGAAATTAAAATTTGGCAAAAAATATTGAAAAGGGAAAATTCATAAAAGTGATAATTTTAATCATGAACGGACAAATCAAGTTTCAAGTATTTACAATACAGTAAGAAGAACACATCTCACAAGCCACAACTAATTTGTTTCTAACTGCAGCTTTGCAAAGATGCAACTATAATAATAATAATAGCTTCTTTGGATGTACAAAATTTATTTACTAATGTCCCAGTCCATGAAATGACTGACATTATCCATGATATATACAATCACACTTCTCTCCCACCAATTAATATTAATCCCACTATTTCAAAAAAATTATTAACATACTACACAAGTACCTTTTCATGATCCCCAAGGTAATATTTATACTTGAATAGATGGTATTGTGATGGGATCTCCTTTAGGCCCTCTTTTTTCCAATTATTATATAGCACATTTAGAAAATAAAATAATGACACTAACAACCCCCCCATATATATATATATATATATAAGATACACAGATGACATTTTTGTTTTAGCTAAAATATTGATCAAATTACACAATTTAAAAACAAATTTGAAACTCACTGTCATCAAATTTACATTAGAACTTAAAATTTCATTCCTTGATGTATTTATGGATTCCATCACACAAATCATTAACACCACCATCACCACCATTCCAAGATTATATCTGATACTAAAAATAAATTCAGTACAGATATTTTGGCCTCTCACGTGGAATGCATAGAATGCATCATGAATTTCGACCTGTTTGCTATTACACAACTGTTATCATCAGCGAGCGGGCTTCTATGTTAACATAACAAAATATTATCATCGATGGTGAATGACTGTTTAAATGTCCGTATAAACCACTCTGAAGATAGCTTACATCAAGGAACAGCTTAATAAAAAAAAAAAAATATCCAAATGTTGGACAAATTTGTCCATATATATATATATATATACACACACACAAAAGAAAAATATACCTAGCTTTATTAGACACTATGACCTGACATGTACATATAGCCTTCAACACTGAATATTGAGAGTACTGATGTCTTATGACAGAAAAATAAAAATCATTGAACTAATTTTTATTAAGTTACTTGTATCAATGCTGATAATCCAGGGCACAATATCTCTTCTACAGAAATCGAAGGTAAATAAATTTTGTTCTTTATTAACTGAAGAGTTGCCTTTGCTTAAACTATTAATATCTACTATCCTGAAAATGGGTCAGTTTAGGTCGTAATCTCTTGTTAATACCAGATTTTTATAAGTCGCTAATACTGGAATTTACTGTAGTCGTTAATGGGTTAAGGTGGTCAGAAAATTTTAAATAACAAAACCATACACAATAATTACAGAGAGACTTCTTTTTTTCTTCTTTTTTTTTTTAAACCCAAACACTTACGTCTTATTGATTGAAAATCATGTAGGTCTTTTGGTTCAATCCAGTTTGTCTTTTTTATAGTTTAAATCTGAATTCAAAACATACACAATAGTAATATACATTTTGCAACATACTATATGAACAGCTATTATATTCTGCATAAAAAAGCCTTTTAGAAAAGTTCAAAGTGTTTAATATTATATGCTGAAGATTTTTGATTACATTAAATATTATTCTTAGATGATACCCATATTTGAGTAGATCTGTTTATTTTATTTTAAACAGTATTTTGTCTGCAAGAAAACTTATTTAAGAAAAAAAAAAAAAAAAAAAAAAGAAAAAAAGTGTCCCACCCTCCACCCCCAGCAGGATTCAAGCATACGTCCCCTTTGGCAGGAGAAAGTCATTAGATCTGACATGCTTTGAGTATTCACCTATGAAGAGCTTCCTAATCACGCAAAGTCCTATTTTGCCTTCAAAGGCTCATCCACTTGTTCAGATTTTCTCAAAAGTCATAACTGCTCAGTTTCATATCTGAAACGTAAACAAAGCAATTTCTAAAGAATTAATGGATTTTATTTCTTAATCGGACATATTTTTATCACATTAAATAATATTTTTAGCAAGTACTTGTATTTGAGTAGATACTCAGTTTATTTTAAAGAGTATTTTGTTTTGTCTACTGGCCTGTATATGCGAGAAAATTTAAGAAAATGCACCTTTCAGCATTTCCATATTCACAGCATTTTGGCTATTGTACACGGCCAAGTGGATAAAAGCCTTGGTAGATTGATCCAAAAGGGACTTGACCCAAAGAGTTCAGAGTTCATTCTCTAGCAAGAGAGAGAGAGAGCAAAAACTTGGAGTTATCAAGGTGAATTAGCTAAAATGGCATGTCACATGGAATTAGAACAATCTACCCCTGTAAACTAATTAATGGGTTTGGTTGGAACTTCCAATGAATTTTACCAGAAAAAGGCATTGCGTAAAATGGCTGAAACATTGTGAATATGGCAATAAAGTCGAGAACAGTCCAAATAATGTAAATAATAAAAATATCAAATTAAAGTAAGGTGATTTTGTAAGCGTAGCTTAGATGTGTGACAAGGCGAAAAGTATGGGGCACCTAGTGAGGAACCAACTCACAACCCGGTCGTAAGTGTTCTAGCAAGACAAGCTTGTTAACCATTACACCACATTGAGATGCCCTTATGTCAGATTAAAATAAGAGCTCGTGTTATATGCAGAGAATTCTGGGAACAACAAGGTTATAAATTGCAGGTATCCCAGTAGTGCAGTCACACTTACCACAAGTTTCTTTGTAGCCTCTATTATGCTCCAGCCTTATCTAATAAACACAAAAGATTCATCTTGATACATTCATGAAAAAAAGGAAAAAAAAAAAAAAAAATCAGGTGACTAGATGGGACCTTATTTACCTGCAGGCAACTTAACGAGAGAGAGAGAGAGAGAGTGATGGGGGGGTGCATACAAAAGAGGATGAAGAGATTAAAATATTGGTTGGAAAGAAAAAAAAAAAAAAAATTGCAATATGATTATGAAACAATGTGACTGGGATTAGGAACAGCCAGTTTTGGGAAGGTCAGAGGTGAAAACAAAATATCATCTACACAGGAGATGTAGTTTTGGCAAAGCTTTTTGTTTAGTCAAACTTTCAAAATATATTTTTGTTTTGCAATCATTTCTGCTTAAAAGGACATACCATAAGCATTCCTTCAAAACTGGTTGACTAAATACAACCTCACCAACCAAGGATTTGTTAAATATTCTACTGGGATGGAAAGGAGAACAAAAGCAATGACTGTAACCAAGGAACACACACATTTATTTATATATATATATATATATATATATATTACAGAAAGCAATTTGGTAAATGAAGACCAGAATTTATCAACAGATAAATGTAGATTACATACAGATTATCTTTGTATTCGTTAAGACAGGATTAGGATCAAAGTGTAGTACTTGTGGTGGATGTGTAAGTTACGTAATGGATAACAGCCCAAAATGAGAAATTGGTAAGTCAAATTCGAATTCCTTAAGAAATCGGGGTAGGAATCCAACCCTTCTCCCTTCAGCTATGAGTAAAATAGCAGGAGAGATAAACCCTTGATTGGAAACATGTCTAGGAGAAGGAAAACTGAATCCAAACCAGCCTGAAGAGAGTTGGGTTCTTGTCAGGCTATCTTGCTTAACAGAAGAGAGTAGGGCTCTGGTCTCATGTTTTCCAGTAAAATGAAGAGAACTGCTAGGTACGCTTGTTTATTAGGTGTCAGACAATTTTTCTTAATAGAAGCCATCTTGCATGATTATTCATCTACCCTTCATCTATGCATATATGTCACATCTGGTCTGTTACATAACCCAAGATTCTTGATTAAAAAAAAAAAAAAAAAAAAATAAACATTTTCATAGCAATTGTTCAGAGTTTTCCTCTTTGCTTCCTCAACCACATAAATTCTGATTGGTAACTAGATCTTGTTTTACTGTTGAATTAGCTAGATGTAACTAAGTCTTCTAAGTTTCTTTTCTTGAAATTCTTGCCTAAGGAACTCTGATTTCTTACTTTCCTCTCATCGACAATCTTCAAAAGTTTAAATTCAACATCAATCGCCATCTTCTACCTTCCTGAATTTTGTTCTTTTATCCCTCAGTAATCACCTTGCATCGCAGTGACTTTATCGCAAAAAAAAAAAAAAAAAAAAAAAAAAAAAACAAAAAAAAAAAAAAACATCTAAAATATTTTTTTGTTTTAGCTGATTTTGATTTATTTATTTGCATATCGATGTAAATGCAATTCATAGAGCGAATGAGCAGATACTATACTTTGATCCTTGGCATTGAGTATAGATATGCTGATCTTAATTTATATAGAAGGAAATGATATACAATTTTTTTTTGTATATCAGAACAATGAATGATAAAGTGAAATTTTTTTTTGTGACATATCCTTCTTTAGGACTTTAGATAAAAAGTAATGTTTCTATTAATGTAATTATGTATGTGCAGGGTGGGGTGACGCTGTAATTTTAAACTTTTAAATTTTTTTTTTTTAAGTTTGGATATACTGTCTAGCAAATTTTATTTAATTTCTTTTTCTTTGTTTATATTTTTACTTAATAAAAAAATTGATAAAATATAAACAAAGAAAAAGCAAATAAATGAAATTGGCAAGACATATCAAAACAAACACACACAAAAAAAAAAAAAGAAAGAAGACTTTTAGAAGTTTAAAATTTCAGCCTCTACTTAATTTTGCATAAATGGA